GAATTGTGCAAACATATATAGTGTGCATGAAGAGCATGCGAAATCAGTGGTTCATTTCGAGTAAGATAACAGCAAGGTACTGGTCATGTTGTCCCAAAATGTTAGAATAGAAAGGTTCTCATTTATGTCTCTTTCATTCTTTAAGCACTCAACAATATGTACTAATGAATTCTGGAAACCACGGAAATAGATATCAGGTTTAAGTATGAGGCTGTTGCTATAAATGGGTGAGGACGAGGAGAGCACAAAGAGGTGTCAGGTTGAAGTTGGAGAGGTGGGAAGCGTGTTCACAATGTAGATTTGGATGGATAGGAGGAGAGGGCAAGAAAGTCAGTGAAGGATCCCAACATATCTACTCCCTCCGTTCGGAATTACTTGTCTCGGAAACGGATGTATCTAGAACTAAAATATGTCTAGATACATCCATTTCTACGACAAGTAATTCCGAACGGAGGGAGTACAATGGAGTGAAGCAGGGCATCCGGGAATTCTGCCCATCCTTAGAGCTTGGACATTGCAGGGAGCGTGGACAGATTGCTGATTCTCTGCAGTAAATTTTTAACAAGAAGACTAGAAGAATGAACCGGTTATTACAAAATTGAACAGAGTAACTCAGACAAATTGCTACGAGCAGAGCAGTGTATAAATTTATCAGTACCAAGGGATTCTAGGTCCACTGTCTACTTGGTTTCAACAGAGGTGTTTAAGTAAAAAATTGCTTGTACCGGTACCCCAGCTAGCAAGGGAATCAAGCTCTCAATCTCCAAAAGGAAGAATAAAACACAACTTCCTTGTCCCGTTCATAGAAACGGCATTGCTTATTTGACTGTAGGTCCCATCTAGTCTTGATAGCTTAGACACAGTGACGTGTGCCAACATAGCTAATCCTTGCTACTAGGTGTAGGTGTAAGAACGTACTAAATTATAACATAAAAATAGTAGTGATACAATGAGCCAGCAAGATATTAACCAATATAAGGTTTGTGCAGACTGCTGGTGTTGACACGGCGTCTATAATCAGAATCTGCCCCATCCTGAACGTCTCCAGCATATATCTAAAAATGTCTCCAGCCTCTGCTTTTGCAGTCTAACTACTGCAGCATCCTGAACACATCAAAAATCAATAATAATTACTTCAATGAGAGTGGCTATCTTTTCAGACCAAACGAAAAAAGAAGGAAATTTCAATACAGGCTACATCTAAGATTTCCATCAGATAAACACACTAAATTATCCCGTACAGGTTAAAGCTAAGATCCTGATGTTCCTCTTCCAAGTTCTAGGGTTCTTGCGCGAGATTAATCCAGTACTTAGGGGGCAGGGGAGGGAAGGTGGCAGCATCATCCTACGCAGCGCGCATACGTCGGTGTATTCGGAAGGAAATACCTTGAAGTAACTCTTGAAGTCTCAAGCAACTCTTGAAGTCTTGATACAAGAACTAGATAGAAATTATGTATCTGAAGGAAAATTTCATTATCTGAAAGCTCAAACATAATCAGAAATATCCTCCTCTCCTCAGTCTTTTAGGCCAAATTGTAAATATCCTCCTCTCATTATCTGAAAGCTCAAACTTTTCATTTCCAGCAAAAGAAGAAGAAAGATATTTTCAGTACAAGCATCACATTTTTAGTATTTTTCGATGGAAGGATCACATTTTAGTTTTTCTTTTTCAACAAAGAATCACATTTTATTCATAGGACCATTTCTATTAAATGCGTGACCACGTGATCAATTCGCTACAAGGAAATCTTGGGACGAATCTAGCTTTAATTTAATTCATGTAGCCCGAAAAACGCAGCATCGCCAGTAACAAAAAAAAGGGTGCATTATCAACCGGTAGCCCGAAAATTATACTCTACTTGAAGCTTGTCAGTTTTCCAGCAAAAGAAGAATAATCAGTAATGAAGTTAAACAGCAAAGCTAACTGTGCTGGAGGATGGAACTAAGTTCCATTCACTGGACTGAAGGATGGAGCTAACTGCAAATGCTTCAGTGCTCCTGCCACCACAAGATCATCTCCCATCATGCATGCTGAACAAAGAGACACACTAATAGGTGTTGTATCACCGACCAAGGTTACAGCTGGGTTTCAGGACAAGCATTCAGTTCATTCAACTCACGAACATGAACTCTGTGCTTTTCTTTTTCAGTACAAGCATTCGGTTATTTTGACGCCATCTGGAAGCAAAGAGATGCATCTTTTATTTTAACTTATTTGACGTGTGCCAACATACTCTGAGTTTTTAGATAGCTTAGACACAGTGACGTGTTAATCCTTGCTACTAGCTGTAGGCGTAAGAACGTACTAAATTATAACATAAAAATAGTAGTGATACAATGAGCCAGCAAGAAATTAGCCAATATAGGGTTTGTGCAGACTGCTGGTGTTGACACAGCGTCTATAATCAGAATCATCCCCATCCTGAACGTCTCCAGCATAATATCATCTAGAAATGTCTCCAGCCTCCGCTTTTGCAGTCTAAACTACTGCACCATCCCGAACACATCAATAATCAATAATAATTACTTCAATGAGATTGGCTGTCTCATCAGACCAAACGAAACAAAAAGGAAATTTCCATACAGGCTACAGCTAAGATTTCTATCATATCAGATAAACACAGTAAATTATCCCCTACATGCTACAGCTAAGATCCTCATGTTCCTCTTCCAAGTTATAGGTTTGTTGCGTGAGATTAATCCAATCCAGGGTACGCAGGGATCATCCTAGGGAGCACGTGAACAATTCAAAACAAGGAAATCTTGGGATGAAATCTAGCTTTAATTTAATTCATGTAGCCCGAAAAACGCAGCATCACCAGTAACAAGAAAAGGGTGCATTATTAACCGGTGGCCACAGCTGCTTCTCTTAAAACAAAATTACATTTGAAGCTTGTCAATTTTCCAGCAAAAGAAGAATAATCAGTAATGTAGTTAAACAGCAAAGCTAACTGTGCTGGAGGATGGAACTAAGTTCTATTCACTGGACTCAAGGATGGAACTAACTGCGAATGCTTCAGTGCTCCTGCCACCACATGATCATCTCCTGTCATGCATGCTGAACAAAGAGACACACTAACAGGTGTTGTATTACCGACCAAGGTCGTTTTTTTCAGTACAAGCATTCGGTCATTTGGACACCACCTGGAAGCAAAGAGATGCATCTCTTGTTACATGACACTTAAAAACATGTCAGTCCCATGAAGAATTAGACAGCACACCTAAATGAAAGAAATTAACTGCCGCGATCCCATGCATCAAGACCTGAACTAATTGGAATACCACCAAAAACATCTCCTACCAAGGTCGTTTTTTTGAAGCCGCGGTGATCTCGCCCACACTAACATGTCCTATCCAAGCCGCAAAAGCTTCTGCCAAAAGGTAAATTTCTAAACCAGGAGATCAACAGGCTAGATCTCATCAACTCATTGTACTCCAAATAAATATGACTACTGCAACATGATCCCACACATGAAAGTTTTTCGCT